GTCTCATAGATGAATGATTAAGGATTTAAAAGGTGTATTTTTTGTAAAGAAAGACAAAAAAAAAAATATGTATAAAAAATGCAAGCAGGGTCTATTTTACTTGTAAAATCAGTGTTATTATTATCCGATATTATTAGTCAATAATTTAGGTTAATTTAAGTTACAATTATCATTTATTTGCTTGAATCGATAAACAAGTTTGCATAACTCTAACCTGGGCATTTTCTGCAATCAAATTTATTTGTTTATTCCCCATTATATTGCTACTTAAAAGTGTAACGTATTTGTACATGTATTTGAATTCAGGATTTTTTTAGTTCTCAATGAAGAATGAACACCAATTTAAATAAAAAATTAGTTATTTTATTTTGTTGTTGAAAAAGTGCATTTTCAATGCCTCTTTCTGGAAATTATTAAGTCAAACTTCAAAAAAAAATATACATTACCTTCCTTTGAAGATTTCTATTTTGAAAAAAAGAAGATATTAAAAATCAGTACCCCTTTTAAAACTGAAATATCAAAAGAATTTGTATCAATATTGAGAAATTCTCCATCTTCGGACCATTGAATACATTTTTTTTTAGGAATATTATGGAAATGAAATAAAACTGTTCATCTTCAGTGTCATATAATTTTTATCAAAAATCAATAAATGATCCCTATGTTTAAACATAGAAATACTCCCAAAAGCAACCATTCACAAGTAAAATTTAGAGAGACAAGCCTGTTTTATCAACAGAAAAAAAAACCAAATATCTTTTTGAATTTAATGCAAGAGTGATATATCAATTTTTTTTTTGGTCAACAAGATACCTGAGAATGTGATTTGAAATTATGCACACAACTCTTCCAGTCTTTTCATCAGTGATTTTTATTACTTTGATTGTCAAAAGTACCTGAGAAGAAGTACAGTTTTTTCTGAGAATTTCATGAGCTGAAAGGGGTGATTTTATAAAGAAAAAATAACAGGTACACTGGTAACTTTTTAGTGAAATAATAATGAAAATGATGACCTTCTACATTTCAATCCTTGTGTTGTCAAGTTGTGATGGTTGCCTCTATAGATGTCTTACACTTACAGGAGCTTGTATTAATAAAGTAATATTGAAAATGAGATAAAAAATATGTCTGACTACCTGTAGCTAAGAAATGGCTGGATCACAGCACCAATGATGTCTTTAGACGGGATGAATTATGCTGTCTGTCCGTCATCAACACTTGGGACAATAACTCATTTCACCAGTTTTCATAAAACTGTGGTGACTTGTTTATATCTACATGTATTGAAGTAATCTCCCATTTGTTTTTTATATATTTCTGATATGACATTGCAGAGTTATGAAACTTTATTCATTGAAAAATCTTCGTTTTGTATCAATGGGTACCACTGTATGTGCATGTCTTTTTTTTTTTTTTTGGGGGGGGGGGGGGGGTTCTATTTGAGCAGTTCTCACAGTATTCCTAGTTGATCATATAAATTCATTTAAAGCATAAAGATGAGCTAAAAGGGCAACAGGCTTATAATGACTGCATGACTACCATGCACATTAATGTCACTCTGCATTGTACATTTGTAGCAGCCCAAATTCTGGTTATATCATCAGGTTAAAGTTTTACTGTATAACAGTTACAATGTAACATATAAATCAGTTGAGAAAACTTTCCCTTAACTAATATAATGAATAATTCCACTGGATATTCAACTGACAGGATAATTAATCCTGCATAGATATCTACCAGATAACTCTTATCTGCCGGATACTGGATAACACTTATCTGCCGGATACTGGATAACACTTATCTGCCGGATACTGGATAACACTTATCTGCCAGATACCAGATAACTCTTATCCGCCGGATACTGGATAACACTTATCTGCCGGATACTGGATAACACTTATCCGCCAGATACTGGATAACACTTATCTGCCTGATACTGGATAACACTTATCTGCCAGATACTGGATAACACTTATCTGCCGGATACTGGATAACACTTATCCGCCAGATACTTTATAACGCTTATCTGCCAGATACTGGATAACACTTATCCGCCAGATAGTGGATAACACTTATCTGCCGGATACTGGATAACACTTATCTGCCGGATACTGGATAACGCTTATCTGCCGGATACTGGATAACACTTATCCGCCAGATACTGGATAACACTTATCTACCGGATACTGGATAACACTTATCTGCCAGATACTGGATAACACTTATCCGCCAGATACTGGATAACACTTATCTGCCGGATACTGGATAACGCTTATTATCACCAGACACTGTGTTAATTATGTGTTTTTGGCATAACCTATATTCTTATTTCATTTTAGTTATTGCCCGTGGACAGATAAAATATGTGCCATGCGGAGGACATTGGAACTCTGTTCTTTTATTAGTACTACTCCCTTTGCAAAGACAAAAGATATTGATAAAATTAGTTTACCAAATTATTTGTTATATTCTGGCAAATGTACATATGCATGTACAAATAATTTTGACAATGGCAATCTGGTGACATATGAGAGTTATTTCCCTTTCTGTATATGACATAATTGCAATGGAAGTGTAACTCATAAACCATAAGTGATAACAACCTATGGTCTTTTGATTTGAGGTCCTTGTTGACAACATTTGACTTGTAAAGGTCAATAAATGTTACGACAACTGTGAATGGTGTTTGAATGCTATCACCATGTTTGAGTAGACTTGTGGCTAAAGAAAAAAAGGTATACTCTTACTTTAAACCTGTTTGGACTTGTAGAAGTCTTAACATGTTTTGACTTATTTGTGTCTCTGACAGCAAGTTGAAAGAATTAATTGGACAAGCTTCAGAGTGTTATAAGGATTAAATATGCAATAAGGATTAATTGACCAATCTTGGGTGTAATAAGGCTTAAAAGGTCAATCTTGGTTGGAATAATTAGATGAATAAATTGTTTTGTTTAAAGTAATAAGAATTAAGTGGACTATTTTGGGTGTAAGAAGGATTAATTGGGCAATCTTGGGTGGATAAAGAGTATCAAAAGACTAATTGCTTATTGCAATGCTCTTTTCAGTAAATCAGATTAATATAATTTTTTTTTCTATGCTAAAGGTAAAAATATATATTTACTTGTATAGAAATAAGGAGATGTGGTATGATTGCCAATGAGACAACTATACACAAGAGGCCAACAAATGTAGATGTAAGCAACTGAAGGTCACAGATTAGCTTTCAACAATGAGCAAAATCCATACTGTAAAATAAGCTGTAAAGTAATCTATAAAAGGCTCTTCATGACAAAATTTGGACAATTCAAAAGAGGAAACCAACAGCCTTAATTTTTGCTAAAATCAATTAAAGAAGAACAAATATGACAGACAGTTTTACCTGACAACCACTGAATAACAGGCTTTGGATAGGCACATAAAGAATGTGACAGAGTTTAACAATGCAAGGTGTGAGCACTGAATCGTCCACTTAACCTAAGAATGGTGTAACAGCACAACATAAAACAATTGTAAAAAGCAGTCACAAAAGGCTTTACATCAGATTGGCACAAAGCACAAAAACAACTAACAAAAAGACAATAGATACAATGTTCCAATCTATGAGTACTAACAGTAAATATAAGCTAGTTCTAAGGACAAATACTACTTACAAATAGATCATGTTTTACGAGACGAAAGTATCAATTAGTACTCATCCAACAGGTTAAGTGTAAAGCCTCCATAAACAGTCTGAGAATATTATAACCATGTGCAATGCCAAAATATAAGTAAGAGCAGGATTTTATTTGTTCCTGCATGCTGACCAACCTAACTCATTTTATTGTGTTACCGAAAAATAAGAAATAGGGTTTACCCGGTAGTTCCCCTCTATTAGACAACTTTATGCTTTTTCAAAAAACATATGACATGTAAAATATATAGTTTTTTTGAGGGATAAAGTTATAGAACTTATTTTTTTATATATCATAAAAATGCCTGAATTTAGATGATATTTGTTAAATTTGTCTTACCTGCAAGAATTATCACAAAGTGAGAAAGAAGTGTTACGTTTCTGTCAATTCCATTGGACTAGAGAATAATTATAAAAATAAATAGATTTGCTATGATTGCCATTTCGGGAAAGGGGGGGGGGGGGGGGGCACTTCAATACTTAATTGATAGTGGGTGTCACTGGGGTTCTGTTACCCCACCCTTTTCATATAATTTAGATCTTAAAAAATGTGTACCTTTTCATATATTGCGTAGGTAAATATGTAACCTTTTCCCATATTGGTTGGGTTTTGTGTGGTGTGTTGGAAAAGTGGAATATTTAAGGCTAAGATTCTGTATGTAATGTTTACTTACGGCAAGACATTCGGCTGTGAAAAAATGACAGGGCTTTTCATATACTAGTAATTGGAAATTTATTGACCTTATCATATATTTCTGATAGTTTTCCCCACCTATTCACATATTTTCAAGCTGGAAAATGTGAACTATTCTAGCAGCATGTCCTATCACCTTGTATATAGGAAGTGGCCTCCCCAAGATTGCCAATGAGACAACTTTCCGCAAGAGACCAAATGACACAGAAATTGACAACTATATAAGTCCTTTTGAACCCACTTCATTTAAGATCATGTAAGTCTATAATTATCTTTTCAAATTTTGGGTCATCAATGCTCTTCAACTTGAACTTTATTTGACCTTTTAACTTTTTTATTACGACGTCACTGATGAGTCTTTCGTGGACGAAACGCTAGTCTAGTGTTTGATAACATGCTGTTCTTTATTTACCATATTTACTTAAGCTCAAAACTGCTGACATTGCTTAACAATAAACTAAATTTTTCAGAAGAGAGATAATTTTTGTTCTTAGAACTAACTTATACATTTGTATGTCCAAGGATCTTATACTTTCTATGCACGCTGTTTATCATTAATAAAGCACCATTTTGTTCCGTTATGAAATCATTGATTTACTTTAATAGAACGTATTGTTTTATTTTTATCTTTTTTAGAATATTTTACAGACTAAAGAATTTTTCCGATCAGTTATTAATTATGACCAACAACAGAAAAAAAAAGGATTTAACAAACAAAATGTTCCAGGATCTATTCTTATCCTTTGTAAGGATTTTTGATCTCATGATAATGTAAGTTGAAGTTCAGTGAGTTTCCCATAGCCTTTAATTCTGTTTTTAATTCTTGAAATGTTCTTTATAATTTTTTTGGGGAAAATACTGTGAATTTGAAGGTTTTTGCAATGCTCTTATAATTGTCATGATTGTGAAGAATGTACATGGATATTATTGCATTTGTTAGAATATGCATTTTAATTTTGTTTGAATTAATTTTGTGAAGCATTTCCTGAAATAGAATTTAAAAATTATAAAAACAAGGAGATGTGGTATGATTTCCAATGAAACAACTATCCACTAAAGTTTTGGAAGTAGATATAAGCAATAATGGGCAACTGTACAGCATTCAACAATGAGAAAAACCCATACTGTATTTAGTCTGCTATAAAAGACATGAAAAAAATGAAACAATTCAAATGAGAAAACTAACGCACCAATTTATAACAAAACCATTTACGAAAAAATAAATATGACAGACATGAACCAACGACAACCACTGAACTACAGGCTCCTGACTGGGAACAGGCACATAAAGAATGTAGCAGGGTTAAACATATTTTAAAGCACCAACCCTCCCCTTACCTGGACAGTGGTGTAACAGGACATCAAACGAACAAACTTAAAAAGTCTACTTTTTGTGTCTGTCTATCACTGTGGTGACAAGAATCCAAACAATGTGTCAATCATTTAACACCCTTAGTGTAGAAGACTAAAGGTGCCTTTACACAGTACGATTTTCCATCAGATTTTCAATCCAATTTGATAATGTGCCCAGGTACATTGTACAGCTTTCTGTTCACTCGATACAATTTCCATTCGATTAACCAAACAACATCCGATTTTCGTGTTCTGAAGGTGCAATTTTTGTAGAAATGACATTATTAATAAAATATTGGATGGAAAATCGTACAATGCAAACGCAGCTTTACCAAAATTGTGTGATTTTCTATGTTATGGTATGGGCATGTGTATTATTTATTATCTAGGAATGTACAATGGTACTTTTATTAATCTTGAAAAAAACCTTGAATCATGTTCTAATATGAAGGCTTCCCACATTGTAGATCATAAGTCATGAAATGATGTTGTATGCACAATGAACCAAAAAATAATTTCAACTTTATATATGTGGCAAAATTATTACATCCATGCAAAAATTGTGGATATTGATCCTCTAACATGAAGCACAGAAATTTGAAATAAAAAATAGACAAAGCTGTTTTCCAACAAAAGTAAATCTATACTACTTATTATACCATTCTAGTTTTATGCATCACTAGTAAGAGTACAGAATGTTTATTTACAGCGATGATAAAAATTTCCAAGCATACAACATGACTGTTGGAACAGAAACTATTACATCAGAACCTGATGCAGTGATATGTAAATTTTTCCCAACAGATGTCCTTCAGTTTACAGAGAAAGTAATAGCAGTGGTTCATGTTGAGGTAATCTTTTGGATTTTATCATCTGGATCATTGTGACCTATATTTTGAAGACAGATGACACCTGTTTGTGTAAATCCTCTGAATGCACTTGACCAGTTTACCATACTTGGCCAGTGAATCATTCTTTACAGAGCCTTCTTTATAAATCATAAATTCAAGACCTCCTTTCTAACATGATTTTGACAACATTATGATTACAAAAAAACTCGTTTCATATGACTTTAAAAAGCTTGTTACAAAGAAAAGAACTTTTGCAAATAAGAATCATATTATATTATACCTGATGAGATATTGAACCTTATACCTATTAACTTGAATTACAGTAATTAAAAATTTAAAAACACTTCAGACTTTAGCCTAGTTATCATGTTGATGTCATTTAGTGAATATCAAGTTGACCCTTTGTATTCTCACGACAGGAGAACATTTTTTTTGCATTGCATAATATCAAAGCTACAACAATATATATCTTCACCACCTTTGTGTGAGGAAAATCTCTATTGATAAGTTCAAAGGTTACAGCAGCACTTGATAGACCGAAATATGGGCAAACTTTTGGATTCCTTTGTGACATCTTTTGAACCATATATATGTCCAACCTTCACCAAACTTGTCTTGAAATACCTTTGCAAAGAGCATGAGCTATATTGATTTTTGGGTCAAAGTTCAAGGTCACAGTGCCAATAAATAAATTAAATTTTTGGATAAATTTCATTTCTGGACAGTGTAATTTAAAAAAAAAATTCAAATTTATCAATATTTGGTAGATAATGCACCTTTGGTTGAAATATTCCTATTAGTTTTGACATCTGCAGCAACAACTTATATACTGAAAATCATATAAAGTATTTTTGTTTTTTTGATGATATCTTTCACACTGTACACACGCCCTGTTTCATTTTTTTAAAATCTAAATCCTGAAGAATACAATCACACACCTCTATACTTGATAACGATGTCTGGAAGTCAGTGTAGTATGTATTTCATTTTTAGCTCACCTAGCACAAAGGACCAGTGTGAGCTTTTCCCTTCACTTCAACTCTGACAAGACAAAAATGTTCAGAATGTTGAGATGCACCTACTGTCTATTACATTTTTGTACATCAAAACTGTCAGACAACATCCTACAGGAGTTATTGCCCTTAAATGAAAAATATTATAATTTTTTTAAACTTTTGCCTTTAATCTTAAAAACTATAAAAGATATATAGAAATTTTAAATAGCGAAAATTATAGCAAGTTAAGTTCTGCAAATAAGTCAACATTGCCAAAACTGTTGAAGTAATTGCCCTTTAATGACCACTTTTACCTATTTTTTTCATTTTTGCCTATTATCTTGAAAGTGATAATAGAAAGTTAGAAACTTTAAATGGCAAAAATTATCATCAAGACAAGATCTACAAATAAGTTGGATTTTTTACCCTTTTTTGTGTTTTGGGAAAAACCATAAAAGATAGAGATAGGAAACCGTACACAGATAAAATAATCAGCAATACAAGATTAACAAAAAGGAGATTTTTGTTATGAATTATCGTCTAGTCTACAATGTTGGAGAGTGTCCATTGTTGAAGATGCACATAGACTTAGGTGAGCGACACACCCTCTAGTTTTCATTTTTTGCAGAAAACATTATAGATAAATTAAGAGAAATTGTAAATTTAAATAGCAAAGATATTATGCATAATAAGATCGACAATTAAGTCTGCATGGCTGATATTGTCAACTGATTTCTTTTAGGAGTTATTATCTCTGAATGACCATTTTTACCCATCTTATGAATTTTTAGCAGAAACAAAGACATTTCGACAGCAACTGTATCTATATCTGTCTAACTTCTGCCAATAAAGGCACACCTCCACTATTTGGGAGTAATGCAATTCCTAATCCTCCACCAATAATCAGTTTAATTTGTACATCTAATATTAAACAAAAACATATACATAGCAAAAATGTTCAGCATGATGAGATCTACAAATAAGTCAACAGGGTTAAAATTAGGAGATAACTGTATTGTATTTTAAGCTTGGCCATTTACGCGGAGCTGTAACCAGATATTTGCTACAGTGAAATCAAGTTTTACGAAGGCCAAGCTTAAAATACAATATGTTATCTCCATTCTAATGCAACATAGTAAAATAAATTCCATTTTAGTAAATATTTTGGCTTAAAATGCCATAAACAAATGAAAAAGTCCCTGAAACTGTTACATTGTCTTTGGCATCTAAACAATGTGACGTCATAGGTATTCTCCTCAGATGTCAAACATAAGAACTAGACATATTTGCATTAGTATTATTTGGGTCTCAAATCCAAAGAAAAGAAATCTAGAATTTGCTTAAATTTTGGTAAATGACTTTTTCTGAGCTATTGAAGTCTTATATGAAAAGAAAAATGGGTGTTATGGAGCAAATATTTTACCCTGTATAGTTGGAAAAAACCCAAGGAGTTCGAACATCTGACAAACATTTCTAAACCTCACCTAAGTAAATCCTTAAACCTCAACATGGTCCAACAGGACACGCTTGTGTTCCATTAGATGACATTTTAGCCCTATATTACCTCTGAAAAACAGTTCAGGAGCATTTTTCAATCTTTCTGACCATTGTTTTGATTTATGGAAAAGATCTATTGAAATTAAGTGATGTAATTTGTATTTGAACTTGCTACTGGAAGCCCTTTCTGTTAACTTCTGATGAGATTTTCTTGTCTTGATTTAGGTCACGCGACAAGTGTTAGCCATTTAAATTAATCGATATCTGATGTAACCAAATTTAAAGAACACACCACATTACTAAAGTCTGGTTATGTCTGCAGTTTCCTCTAGCAAAGTTCTGTGCAACGTAAGACCTCAGATCTCTGTCAGTAAAGAGATGCTTATTGTCATGGCTGTAGGGAAATTAAACTTAGGTGTCTCTCATTAAAACAATAAAAATGTTTTCCTCGAAAATTATGGATTAAAGATATGTGTACACTTCACAAAACCAAACAACTGACAACAAATTTTGTGCGCTCGAAAATAAGAAATATGAGCATGTTCTCAAGAAGCGTGCAAAAAAATTGTTAAGCCAAATTGAATATCACAGAATATCTTCAAAAGCATTATTTTTACAAGAAATTTGACACATTATAACTTAAAGGTAGGCAGTTTTGTTTTTACAATGTACAGCTTTTTTTCTACTAATATAGTTGTATTGTTATGTGCATTAGTCTGATATCTAAGTAGTAATTTATGTATTATAATTTTACATTAAGTCATTACACATGTTATATATTGATTAAAGGAAGAGAAAGACAGCTGTGAAAATATTAGTGCGAAATCAAAAAGAAGGAAAACTGACGACGACAAAACTTCAACCACAATTGGTCATATTGGTTCAAATTTAAAGGGACAACATACAGGTGAAATGATAGCTGCATTGCCATCATCAGTGTTTGGTTTCAATGGTGTATTTGGGTTTATTGTACAAAATTCAAAGGTAGGTATTATCTCAGACACAGATTTTTAAAAGCATTTAAGCCTTACAAGACATCATAAATTAGTCTTTTTATGTTTTTCTTATTCAAGTTCATAGAACATGGCTGAATAGAATGTATGCTCACTTGTTGTTTAAGACGGTTAAACATTTGTATTCTATGTACTAGGTAGATTAATTTTTTAAAATGAGAATTAAAAAACAAGAGTTTTTAACAATCATGTTCGATTATACATAAAAAGGTAACAGTGCACCAAGAATACTGTGCATTACAACAGACCACATCATTACCACAAATACACAACTCCTCTGTAAAAAAAATAGACGTACAAACAAAATCAAACAAAAACGAACAGCACATGGTCCAGATAGCATGACTTGTGACAGGCAAAATATGTGGTTTAAACAATTTTATGTGCACACAAACTCAGGGTTGGCAAAGTATTACCCACCCGGGAAAACCCAGGTTAGAAAACCCGGGTTTTCCCGGGCTGGGCAATACTCCCAGAAACGGGTAATACTGGGCAATATGATTTTTTAAGCTTATTTTAACACAAAATAGTAAAGACTTGTTGTAGTTTCATAGTATTATAGCTAGATATATACATTTTATACAGATAAAAATTGAAAGTCATTTCTAGAAGATTGAAAATTCAATTTCATTCTCTTCTCCTCTAATTCTATGTAGGCAGAATACAAGATTTGCACATTTTAGGATACCTTGTTAATTTCCAAGCATTGTTTCAATAATCCAAACTTTGAAAAAAATGCATTTTATTGCAGTGTTTAAGTGAATTGTAAATTTAAATTGCTATGCAATCATATTGCTAAATAAACACCCTACAGGGTCATGTCATTAACACTTATGAAATGAAAAGGCTGATTATTGTTATATAAACGGTATATCTGTTACAGTGAATTTGTGAAATCAGGGATTTTGTAAAATCCCTAAAATTTCAGTGATTTTGTATAATCACTGAACTGATTAGTGATTTTATAAAATCCCTGATTTGGACTAGGGATTTTTCAAAATCACTGAAATAATTAAGATCTTTTTCACAGATTCCCTGATGTAATTCAGTGAATTTGTAAAAAAAAGTTTTTCTTTTTTTATTAAAAATTCTTATAAAAAAGTCTAAAGCAGTTACACTCAACAAGTTTGAGATTAATTTAGCCTTAAATATTAATACTGAATGAGCAATTTTCACCAAACAACTGACATACTGTAGAAAAATGACTCAGGCAGTCTCTAAATCAAGAGCAAACTTACTCACAAAAGTTAATTCTAATAAATGAGGGAAAATAAAAATGTAACATATTACCGGGAAAAAGTAAGAAGAACCTTCAAAAGCTAAAAGCTGTAACAATTAACAATTGCATTTCTGTTTGACCGGCAGTTAAATTGTCTTCCATTTGTGATGGACAATTTCTTTTTTGAATGTGGATGTTCTGGAACTATGGAAAGAAATGATGTAAACGAAATATGCTTCTGTCGAAAAGCAGGGTAATTGTGTAACAGTTGATGTCACCCAAACATGCATGAAAAAAATTAGTAAATTGTAGTTTAAATAGCAGCTCATATTCCTATTATTTATAACCATTGTTCAATAGTTTAAACTAATATTTTACATTAAATTTTTTTATTTCAAAATCGTTGGTATAATAGTATTCCTATTACCGACAAAGTCGAAGGGGACTTTAGTTTTGCACTCCATCCATTTGTCTGTCTTTCCATCCGTGTTTGAATTTTGTTCTGGTCTGACGATTTAAGGCAGAATTATTGTCCTTGAAGTTAGAAAATTTACTCAAATAATCAATTTTCAGCATTTTATTTGGTCATTCTTTAAGATATTGATTTGATGATCTATATATATTTTTTATCATGATTAGTTATAGATTCATTTCGAATTTGGGTCCGGTCTAATTATTTTGTGCAAAGTTATGGTCATTGGAATTAGAAAATTCACTGAAATAATCAGTTTTCCTCACGTTTTTTTCGTAATACATAATAATGTTGACTTGATATTTGTTATATAGTTTACACCATTACAAGTGATATATCAAGTTAGAATTTTGTTCCAGTACTTTAACAGATAGGGGAATATGTAATGCCTGGCAATACTCACAGCTAGAATGCTTGTTTAATTTGTATTAAGAAAAACACAGTTCTAATATCATTCACAAGTTTAAACTTGTAATCAGGGATTTTACAAAATCCCTGACAATATTTTTAGTGATGTTGTAAAATCACTGATCTTTCAGGAATTTACAAAATCACTGAAAGTGTTAGTGATTTTACAAAATCACTAATTATTCCAGGGATTTTACAAAATCACTGATTTCACAAATTCACTGTAACATATCTATGTTTTAATCTGAATAATTACTTATTAATTAGTGATGTACATATAAATTATTTAAAAGTAATTTTTCTTATATGTAATTGTTAATTCTTAATATTAAGATTATTAGTTATATATATTTGAAAAAAAAAATGAATTGTTTGGCTTTATGTTAACAGTTTGAACAATCTAGACAGAATGGTGATTTAATAGATTTTTAGAATTATTGAGAAAGGCTTTTTCCATTAATATTTGTCTAATGTGTTTTCATGTGCACTTGTCTCAGAGTTGCTAGAGTAATACTTTCTCAAATGTATACACTTGTATTATACATGTTATAAGACTCTCAAACAAGTAAACTTATTTATAAATTAAAATGTTTATAAATATCTTAAATGTATTGCATTTGTGTTTGATCACTGAATCCTCTTTAAAATTCAGGCCAGTATTTTATATTACCCAGTATTGCCCAGTATTACCCAGTAAAACCCTGTAAAACCCGGGTTTTCCCAGTATTTCCCACTTGGCTGGGCAAAATTCATAAAATCCGGGTTTTTGCCAACCCTGCACAAACTTTCCATTGTCTATTAATATAAAAAGGAGATTTGGTATGATTGCCAGTGAAATAATCATCCATTTAACCTTGGTCAAAGATGTGAACAATGCTTAAATACAGACTTCAAACAATGAACAAAACCCATACCACATAGTACCTAAAGCTATAAAAGGCCTTGTATGACAAAATGTGAATCAATTCTAAAGAAAAAACCAATGCTACAAGGAATGCTACAATTTATGCTACAAGGAATGAACAAAAAATATGTTGATAAGTAAAACTCACAATAAAAAACCTCCACAGTGCAGCTACTAACAGGATTACCATTAACTTGAACAAGGAAATAAAAAAAAAAACATATGATTTGAAAATTGAGGCCAACATGTACTCTCTACTACAAAAAGCTAGCTTAGGTAGCTACAGCTATTGGTTCAGTACTACTGCTCAAGAAAACAAAACAATCAGAAACTGCACTCTTAGCTGGTTTTTCAAATAATTTGGCATCAAGCATCAATGAAGAGACATTGATTGTCAAAATGCTCATCTGGTGCAGTTTAATTGGTACCTTTAATGCTAATACATACTACTGGTGAGTCTCTTTGCTGGTTTACTGTAAGTCCCTGAGAGGATCGCCAGTCCAGTACAGCCTAAATACTTCAGTAACGACATGAAAAAACTGATATTGTTTGATGAAATTTGCTGTTATAAAATTTTGGAAATCATTTTAAATTAAGAATTTTGGAAATCATTTTAAATTAAGGAATATATCTCTCTTACTCAAAGCTCTGATTCCTTGTCAGGAATTTGGCTATACTTTATGTCCTTTTTAGCTCACCTGGCCCCAAGGGTCAAGTGAGCTTTTCTCATCACTTGGCGTGCGTCGTCGTTAACTTTTACAAAAATCTTCTCCTCTGAAACTACTGGACCAAATTTATTCAAACTTGGCCACAATCATCATTGGGGTATCTAGTTTTAAAAATGTGTCTGATGACCCTGCATGCCAACCAAGATGGCTGACATGGCAAAAAAAAGAACATAGGGGGTAAAATGCAAGTTTTATTTATTATTTTGAAAACCGTTATAATAGAGAAAATCTGACAGGGCAAAAATGTTCAGAATGTTGAGCTGTACCAATTGTTCACATACATGAAAACTGTCAGACGACTTCTTATAGGAGTTATTGCCCTTAAATGACAAATTTTACCATTTTTTTTCATTTTTGCCTATTATCTTGGAAACTATTATAGATAGGGAGAAACTTTAAAGTGCAAAAATGATCAGCAAAACAAGGTCTACAAATAAGTCTCATGGTTGAAATCATCAGTCGACTCTTTATTTGAGTTATTGCCCTTTGTTGACGATTTTTACCAATTTTTTGTGTTTTTGCCTTATATCTTAAAAGTTATAATGGAAAGATAGATAGAAACTTGAATAAGCAAAAATGATCAGCAAGACAAGACTACAATTTAGGCAATATGGCGGGAAATTGTCTGACTTCTCCTTATTGGATTTATTGCCCTTTAATGACAATTGTTACCATTTTTAGTTCACCAGGGTCCGAAGGGCCCCATGTGGCGTCCTCCGTCGTCGTCGGTTGTCGTCTGTTGTCGTAAACTATTTCAAAAATCTTCTCCTCTGAAACTACTCGGCCAAATACCTTCAAACTTTAACTAAATGTTCCTTAGGGTATCTAGTTCATAAATTGTATCCAAAGTTTTGATCCATCGACAAACATGGCCGCCATGGCTAAAAATAGAACATAGGGGTCAAATGCAGTTTTTGGCTTATATCTCAAAAACTAAAGCTTTTAGAGCAAATCTGACAAGTGGTAAAATTGTTCAATTGGTCAAGATCTATCAGCTCTGAAATTTTCAGACGAATCGAACAACCCATTGTTGGGTTGCTGCCACCGAATTGGTAGTTTTACCAAAATTTTCTGTTTTTTGTTATTATTTTGAATATTATTATAGATATATATAAACTGTAAGCAGCAATAATGTTCAACAAAGTAAGATCTACAAAAAAGTTAATATGACCATAATTGTCAATTGACCCCTTAAGGAGTTATTGCCCTTTAAAGACAATTTTACACAATTTGTTCATCAAGTTTGCTAACATTTTAAAATCTTCTCCTCTGAAATTACTGGGCCAATTACCTTCAAACTTTAAATAAATGTTCCTTAGGTTATCTTGTTTATAAATTTTATCCGAAGTTTGTATCCATCAACAAACATGGCTGCCATGGCTAAAAATAGAACATAAGGGTCAAATGCAGTTTTTGGCTTATATCTCAAAAACTAAATTTTTAGAGCAAATGTGACAGGGGTAAAATTGTTTAATTGGTCAAAATCTATCTGCCCTGAAATTTTCAGACGAATCGAACGACCCATTGTTGGGTTGCTGCCACCGAATTGGTAGTTTTAACAAAATTTTGCAGTTTTTTGTTATTATTTTGAATATTATTATAGATATATATAAACTGTAAGCAGCAATAATGTTCAACAAAGTAAGATCTACAAAAAAGTTAATATGACCATAATGATCAATTGACCCCTTAAGGAGTTATTGCCCTTTAAAGATAATTTTACACAATTTGTTCATCAAGTTTGCTAACATTTAAAAATCTTCTCCTCTGAAATACAGGTGAGCGATTCAGGCTCTTGAGATCCTCTTGTTTTGCATTTTGCCTTATATGATAAAAATTATAATAGATAAATAGACACTTTAAATCACAAAAATGATCAGCAAGGCAAGATATTCTAACAAGTCAAATTTTGCCGATATAGTTATTAGACTGTCACTCTTTATAGGAGTGATTGCCCTTAAATGAGGATTTTTTTTACCCTCTTTTGTGTTTTGAGCAAAAACTAAAGAAGATAGAGAGAAACTAAACAGACTAAGTGATCAGCAATCTGAGATCAACAAAAACAGAAATTTTTGTCATGAAATCTATTCTCGTCTACAATGTTGGAGAGTGTCATTTAACGAATATGCACATAGACCAAGGTGAGCGACTCAGGCTCTTTAGAGCCTCTAGTTTGGTTTTATCACCTCTTCAACGTTTTTCTTGTATTAGGTTTTGGATTGTCAAATATTTTAGCCTCTAGCATGACTGAGTCGATATTAACAGTCAAAATTAAGGAATATATCTCTCTTACTCAAAGCTCTGATTTTTTGTCAGGATTTTGCTATACTGTAAGTTTGTTTTTGTCTCGCCTTGACGGAGTCAAAAAGTGAGACATAGGTATGCTGTTTACGGCGGCGGCGTCATAAATGTATTAGTATGTGATTAGGTCAGTTTAAGGGGAACTGTTAATGGTAGGTCAATGATAATTGGTATGCAGTTGTATAAGAATTAGCACATCTCATTTTCATGGAGTATATTTGGTCCTTACCCCTCAGTCACAGTCTATTGACTTTGAAACTTTTGCTTAGTTTATATGTATAAGTTTGTGATTAGGTCAGTTTAAGATGAACCACTTATGTTAAGTCATTAATATTTGGTATGGGTATGCAAATGTATTGGCATTTGCAAGTTTCATTTCCGTGGAGATTATATAACCCCACTCCCTCATTATGGTTCATTTACTTTGAAACTTTTGCATAGTTTACCAGTTAATGTTTGTGTTTAGGTTTGTTTAAAGGGAACGATTTATGAAAAGTCAATGGTATTTGGGATGCAGTTGTATTAGCATTGACACATCTGATTTCCAGGGAGATTGTTTATATAGCCCTGTACCTTCGGTCATGGTTCATTGACTTTAAATATTTGCATAACTTACATGTTAAAGTATTGCTTTTTTAATTTCAACATTTGCATTATCAAAATAACAAATAGGCGAGACATATATCGGTGTTAACAGTTTATGGTTTTATCAGGTCTTCAACGGTTGTATTAAGTTTTGGATTTTCAAATATTTTGGTTTTAATTGAGTATCATTAAAAAGACATTAATTGTGGAAATGGACATCTGGTGCAGTAAAATTGGTATTGTTAATGTTATTTTATAAAGTCTAATAATAAAATTTTATTGAACTCAGCTGAACTCTGAGAAATCAGAAAGTACTAAAAGTCATCAGACCATTGGATGAAAGAATCATTTTAAATGAATTAGTCAGTATGTCTCGCCTGCAGCCCTTGCTGTTGAAATATGCTTGCATGGAAAATTAAAAGTATTATTTAGATATCATACTATTTCAATGGAAGATGCATGTTTCTGGAATAACTTCAAGGAACACCCAAGACCCCCTAAAAAAAAGTCTAGGTTAAAAACAGATAATCATGGAAGTGAAAATAAATAAATTGGTATTTACCCAAAATGGAGTCTGAGTAGGTGTGTGACAGGGTTAGCATCTCTTGATCATCATAACCTGTCACATGTTAAACAAAGTTTACTTTACATTCCTGATACTCAGATAACGTCATCCAGGAAATCAATGTGGGAACATTCAAGACTTATATAGTTGAGGTTTCCCCAAAAACAATTATTAACCGTTGACCCTGCTTATTATTGTTTGTAGTATTGTCAAAGATTTTAGAAGATGCTGTTATAAATTTCAACAATTTTTCAGGTTACTGTTACATCTTTACGTACCAGTGGACAATTCTGGGAGCAGCTTAAAAAAGGAAATATAAAAAATGCACATGCAACTGTTCGCTATAGCCCACAATGTAATATCTTAACTAAACAAGGAAGAAGTCAACTTATTGATATATTTTTAGGAATGAAAGTATTACTTCAATGTCTTGAATTGTAAACAAAGAAACTGTTTATTGAAGAACTACTGACATTGGTTTAATTCAAATGGGAATAAATATTTATAGGAATCAAGCCAGTAAACAATGAATTTCTTCAACGTACTTACAGTACATCAGGATCTATCATTTGTATAATAATTCATAGGGTTTTAATCTCTTGCTATGCATACATCACACTTGCCATGTAAATCAAGACTCATTCAAACATGTCAGGATTAGCCCAACTGTTGTCTTCAAATTTTAAAGACAAATATGAAAAAAAAATATGTTCGTCTGCGAATGTGATATGATAATCTCATTTCAAGATTTTTTGCAGAAAAAATAACTGATTATACATTAAAAGGGTAGTAAAAGGAAAATTTTTCTCCAACAAGTTTGCCAGTGCTCTTGCGTGGACAGGGTTTGATTCGTCATGGTTTGTTTTCTAAGGAAAATGTACTGTTTTAAATCAGATAACAATTTTTTTCGTTCATCTAACAGTCTGTTTTATTTTACATTCATATGTACATTCTTTTACTATACTGTATACTATACTTCAATGGGCGGATGCACCACTGTCCCAGTAAGGGGATGGTTGAGCACTAACAAACATGCTTAATCCTGTTACATTATTTTTGTGCCTGTTCAAACTCAGGATCTGTATTGCAGTGTTTGTCGTTGGTGGCTGTCTGTCATAATAGCATTTTGTTAATTGCTTTATATAAAATGTCAGACTGTTAGTTTTCTCGTTTGAATTTTTTCACATTTGTCATTCCAGAGCCTTTTATATTTGACTTTAGGGTATGGGTTTTGCTCATTGTTGATACATCATGTTTTGCTTTTGTCTCACCTGCAAAGAAATTTGCAGAATGTGAAACATAGGGAAAACTTTCCGGTGGCGATGACAGCGTCAGCGTAAACTATTTGTATTAAGCTTAATATTTCAGAGGGTAGAAGACCTGGAGGCTTCGTACCTTATTAACAGATGACTTATGTTACGAAGTTTCTGTTTGTCATATGTTCATTGTCCCTGACATCTTTTTTAGTTCATCTGGCCCAAAGGGCCAAGTGAGCTTTACACTTCACTTGGCGTCCGTCGTCTGTTGTCCGTCATCATCATCATCCGTTAACTTTTACAAAAATCTTCTCAATAAATGGACCAAATAAAACCAAACTTGGCCACAATCATCATTGGGGTATCTAGTTTCAAAAGTATTTCTGATGATCCCGCCTGCCAACCAAGATGGCTGACATGGCTAAAAATAGAACATAGGGGTAAAATGCAAGTTTTGTCTATTATTTTGAAAACCGTTATAGGTTGCACTTTGTAAATACAGCTGTTTCACAAACCACGCCTCTTTTGGGGAGAAATTTAATATTCATAGATATTTTGTTTTGTTTACCTTCTGGTTCCCATATATGATCTTTATGCTTCATCTTGTAGAGACACAACTTGAGAATGTTACCAGTATAAAAACACATGGATAGCGGCCAACATGAATTCTTAGGAAGACCCAAATTGAAGGGAGGGGTAGTACAGAAGTTTAGTATAAGTTAAAATTCTTAGAAGTTTGAGGCATATAAATGTTGAAAATATGCTGCTCAGCCCTATGTTTTTACCTTTGAAAAAAATTGTAGTGCATATAAACTTTTTAATCTAGGATATAATTTTTTACGAAAGTTCATAGTAAAAGTGGCACAGTTTTAGCCGTTAGAAGAGTTCCTATGGGAAATTGCATTGTCTATATTTACAGAAGTGCAACCTATAAATAAAAAAATCTGACATGAGCAGAAATGTTCAGAATGTTGAGTTCTACCAATTGTCATTTACGTCAAAATTGTCGGGGGGCTTCTTATAGGAGTTATTTCTCTTAAATGACAAATTTTACCATTTTTATGCCCCCGCAATAGCGGATGGGGCATTAAGCTTTACCCTTGTCCGTCTGTACGTCCGTACGTCCTAAAGTTGGTTTCCATTCTCTAACTTTAGTTTGTCTCAACCAAATGTTATGAAACTTATACACAATGCTTATTACCACAAAATACAGATCAAGTTTGACTTTTGGTGGTGTCACTTTAACAGTTCTAGAGTTATGCCTCTTTACAAATGGAGAGATTGCTGAATTTTTCGTTTCCGTTCTCTAACTTAAGTTAGCCTCAACCAAATGTTATGAAACTTATATACAATGCTTATTACCACAAAATACAGATCAAGTATGAATTTTGGTGGTGTCACTTTTTCTGTTCTAGAGTTATGCCCCTTTACAAATGGAAAAATTGCTGAATTTTTCGTTTCTGTTCTCTTAACTTAGGTTTATCTCAACCAAATGTTATGAAACTTATACACAAAACGTATTACCACAAAACTCAGATCAAATACAAATTTGGGTAGCGTCACTTTTACTGTTCTTCAGTTATATCCCTTTATAACTTTATATGATATGCAAGCAGGGGCATCATCTGTGTCCCATGGACACATTCCCCATTTATTTTTTTCATTTTTGCCTATTATCTTGAAAACTTTAAACAGCAAAAATGATCAGCACGACAAAACAAACAAATAAGTCTGCTAGGTTGAAATCGACAGTCAACTTCTTATTAGAGTTATTACCCTTTGATTAGGATTTTTACCAATGTATGCTTTTTTGCCTTATATCTAAAAAAATTTAATAGATATATAGAAACTTTAAAAAGTAAAAATGATCAACAAGACAAGATCTACAGTTAAGACAAAATGGAGGAAATAGTTCGACTCCTAATTGGAGTTATTGCCCTTTAATGACGATTTTAACCAATTTTTTTGCGTTTTGCCTTATATGATAAAAGTTATAATAGATAAATAGTAACTATAAATAACAAAAATGATCAGCAAAGCAAGATCTACAAACAAGTCCAATGTTGCAAATATAGCTAGTAGACTGTCACTCTTTATAGGAGTTATTGCCCTTAAATGAGGATTATTTTTACCCTGTTTTGTGTTTTGAGCAAAAATTAAAGAAGATAGAGAGAAACTCAGCAAACAAAAAGATCAGCATTACAAGATCAACAAAAAAGAGATTTTTGTCATGAATTCTATACTCATCTACAATGTTGGAGAGTGTCCTTTGTTTGTATATGCACATAGAGCGACAGAGGCTATTTAGAGCCTCTAGTCATGGTACAGCAACTGCTTGAAAAAAAGTTTAGTTTATTTGTCATGTGATTTTCTCATTTATTATGAGTAATAGGATAACTATATTTGGTATAAGGGTTCCTTGCAAGGTCTATATTTCAGCAGACAGCTTCACCAGACTTCATTTATTGGATCAGTGATCAAGGTTTAAGTCAAGTGATTAGGTCCGTTTTTCAGATACTGTCCTAATTTATAACAATGTAAGCAGTAGGTCAACTATATCTGGTTTATGGAATGATTGAAAGGTGTACATGTCAGTACGGCAGGTTTCATCTGACCTTGACCTCATTTTCATGGTTCATTGGTCAATGTTAATTATGCCCCCGCCATAGCGGTGGGGGCATTAAGTTTTACCCTTGTCCGTCTGTACGTACATACGAACGTACGTCCCAAAATTGGTTTCCGTTCTCTAACTTGAGTTTGCCTCAACCAAATGTTATGAAAATTGATTTAGGGGGTAATTGCCTCCAAATTTTAGGAATTAGGGGCCAAAAAGGGGAAAAAACAAGCATTTTTCTAGTTTCATGACAATAACTTGTGTGTAAGTGTATGGATCTTTATGAAATTGTACTACAAGGTTCCATATCACAAAGGGAAAGCTGGAATTGAGTTTGGTGGTAATTGCCCAAAACGTTTAGGAATAAGGATCCAAAAAGGGGCCAAAAATAAGCATTTTTCTAGTTTCCAGACAATAACTTGTGTTCAAGTGTATGGATCTCTCTGAAATTGTACTGCAAGGTACCATACCACAAAGGGAAGGCTGGGATTGATTTAAGGGGTAATTGCCTCAAAATTTTAGGAATTAGGGGCCAAAAAGGGGCAAAAAAACAAGCATCTTTCTAGTTTCAGGACAATAACTTGTGTGCAAGTGTATGGATCTTTATGAAATTGTACTACAAGCTTCCATATCATAAAGGGAAAGCTGGGTTTGAGTTTTGGGGTAATTGCCCTAAACGTTTAGGAATTTGGGGCCAAAAAACAAGCATTTTTCTAGTTTCCAGACAATAACTTGTGTTCAAGTGTATGGATCTCTCTGAAATTGTACTGCAAGGTACTATACCACAAAGGGAAGGCTGGGATTGAGTTTGGGGGTGATGAATCATAAGGGGGTTCAAAAAATTTGGCGGGGGGGTTCCCCTTTTTTTCTTTAAAATTTTCCATTTTAAATTGGTTATTTCTGATTTATATATAAAAGCAAATAATAATAATATGGTTTGAATAGGTAAATTAAAATTTTTTAACTTCTTAGACCACATTCATTCTATGTCAGAAACCTATACTGTGTCAAATATTTAATCACAATCCAAATTCAGTGGTGTATCAAGCTTGAATGTTGTGTCCATACTTGCCCCAACTTTTCAGGGTTCGGCCTCTGCGGTCGTATCAAGCTGCGCCCAGCAGAGCATTTTATTAAAATTGGAGTTGTCTTCCTTTGTCCATGATTATAGTTGAATCAACTACAATCAATGCTTTATACAATGCAATGTTTAATTTTGACTTCCACTGATAATACACAGATCATGTTAAATTTGGGTAGTGTCACTTTAACCATTATTGAGTTATGCCCCTTTATAAATCGAAAGATTGGAAAATATTTAGTTTCCATTCTGTAACTTAAGTTTGCCCCAAACATTATGAAACCTATACACAATATTCATTACCACAAAACTAAGATCAAGTACAATTTTTTTGTTTCCGTTTTCTAACTTTAGTTTGCCTCAACCAAATGTTATGAAACTTATACACAATGCTTATTACTACATAATACAGATAAAGTAGGGAATTTGAGTTATGTCCCTTTATAAACATAAAAATTGTTGAATTTTTCGTTTCCGTTCTCTTACTTCAGTTTGTCTCAACCAAATGTTATAAAACTTATACACAACCGTTCTAGAGTTATGTGTGTTTACAATTAGAAAAATTGCTGAATTTTTAGTTTCTGTCCTCAACTTAAGTTAGCCTCACCCAAATGTTATGAGACTTACACACAATACTTATTACCACAAAACTCAGATCAAGTTCAAATTTGGGTAGCCTCACTTTTACCGTTCTTCAGTTATGTCCCTTTACAACTATGATATGCAAGCGGGGGCATCATCTGTGTCCACATGTGGACACTACCCACATTTAAGTTTGAATAACCATCACTTCAACAACGGTGAACAATACCAAGATTACTTTTATTTCAAAAAGCTAGGAATTCCGATAGCAGACTACACTGGTGAAAAAATGACATCGGTAAACAACTGTTGCCTATAGTTAACGGACGAATTGCATGCATTAACGTATGTTAAAAAGTACGTTTTACAAACTTTATACACGTAATTTACTTATGTTCAAACATACGTTGTACGAACGATAAACTTGATGACAAAACACCATGATTTAAAAATGGGCATCCAATAAAATAAAAATACTTGTACTATGCCATCATTTCAATTATAACGTTGTACGTTTTACGCATGTTAAACGGATGTTAACCATTGCCATTTTACATGTGTATATCATACAAGCAACAAGGCACACAAGACAATCTCACACGAAATGTTTCATTAGACATGATGACAC